GACTAGGAATAGCTTCACAAGCATAACATTTACAGGACGAGGGTGTCAACACCGCTGTTGCTCAACAAACGCCAGTGCCTGTGAGTTGGTCTTCTTTGTAACTCTGTTCCTCCGTTCCTGTTCCAACGCTTCCGACGAATTGTAAGAGACATGACAAGGTTGCTTATAAATCAACTTCGCAAATGCACGTCTGTGTCGATAAGGATCACATATCTTCACTCAGCTGTGTATAATTCATCGTTCACATGTCGGAAGCAGGGTTCACTGTCCGTTGGTAGTTTACTAAAGAGGGGCTGTATTCAAGATATTTGGAGGGGGTTGTTTTCCTTTTTTGGTGTGTTGGTGATGGTGACAGGGGTGGTGGTGTCCGTTCCTCCAAGTGGTGCCACTGGGAACTGCTCACTTTGTGAGCTGAGCTGATCGCGGACATTCGAATGCAGGCGACAGGCCCCCGTGACAGGCCGGCCTACGAACACCCACGTCACATCACAATGTCAATGTCGCTAATGAATCTCGAGATAATGCTACGGCGTCCGCGGGAGCCGACGCGCACTCGCAAAGCCCGGCGAGTGTGAAAAGAATGCGAGGGTCTTTGGCGCAAGGACGCTAGATCGCTCCGCCGAAACCGAAACTAGCCGAAAGATGTGGGCTAGCGAGAATCAAGTGGTGGCGGCTAGAGAAAAAGAAGCGGCCGTCAAGTCAATGAAAACATTCACCCCAAACCGACCTTGACCAATTCTTCGAGGTTCCTTAGCAAATGGAAGCACATCAGTGATTATGATAATGGTTGTATTTCCGGTCAGTTGGTTTTTGAGAAAGATAAAACTTCAAGAGAAAGAGTGTTGAAATTGGGACAGGAATTGTGGGACAACCCAGTAGTTAAGACTTAGACTAACACAATACACGAATTCTTAAATTTGATGTTTTAAGACTGATCAGTGCAGAACTGCCTCCGAGCCGACCTCGAAACCGGTGAGATTTGTTAACATTCAGACCGTTCAGAAAAACTGATACTGACTAACTACGCTACAAATGCTGTAGTGTATCACCAGAATGCTGGTTACAAACAAATCCTTGCCCCAGACGGGACTCGAACCCGCACCTCTTGCTTATCGTACAAGTTACGCTGTGTGTATATCGAAAATGTAGAAATTTCACTACCTGAAAACTTTTCTGCCTTTTTTCTGGCAATCCAATGGCCGATCAAAAAATCATTATTATTTTTGTGCTGGAGGCGCATGTCCACATAGCATGCCAAAGACATTTTTGAAAAAGCGTTCCACGTACTGAAAGACTTTTCTGTAGAGAGCCAATCCTGCTTTACTTTCCACATAAGAAATCTTTCTCCGAAGCTATTCTGAAGCACAGGGCGATATGGATAACGATTAGTTGCACGGAAAGGCGAGCGCTGCCTCTCACGTCCTTCATCAGTGTGTACGGGTCAAAGGCGACCATAACACATTTTAGAGGCGTTGGGTTGCTGGGTTGCTGATCATCTTTACATCAAGTGAAATTCTGTGTTGTTATCCTTTTTCTTCGTGGTATAGCAGCACGTTTACAAACGGTCAACACTTTTGCCACATCCTGTAGATTCATTGCGCCTCATTCCGAATCATTCCGATTTCTTGTGCTTTTTCTGCCACAATCTCATTGTAACCAAACTTATGACGCACACTGTAGTTGGCGCATCACTATTAAGCCAGACCATTTCTCTCAGATGTCTTCAGTACGAAAATCGCAGTCAGTACACTCGTACAGAGCAGAATTTGTTCTCTAATTCCTCGCTAGATCGCAAAACAAATGCGAACATTAAGGAGCTGACTCGTAATGTATGATTCTGAGAAGTCTCGTAGAAGATTTCCGAGAAGAAACAGAGGAAAAAAAATTTATGCACAAGCGCTTGTGTGAAAGGGCTTAAACGTTGGAGCCTTTTCACACGAAAAAAGAAGTCGCTGATATGAGGTGAAAGGATTGGAGTGTATATACTCCACGGGGGGCACCACTGATCACATTTCCAGACATCCTAAGGTCAACTCCGAGCGCAGGGGATGTAGCCAGTCAGGGGAGCTGGGGGGGGGGGAGCTGCATCATGATGCTCCTAACTGGAAGACCGATTGGATACTCACATATCAGTAGAAGGAAGAAAGAATAGTGTAGGCTGCATGCATATATTTATCCTATCCTATCGCTCCACTCTGACAGGGACGGCTTGGTGGTTATAAGCACTACATCACACCTGCGATTCACTAGAAAACAAATTCCTTATCCCCTAGACTGACCTTCACTTCTGCTATCGGCAGTCCGGTATCGGAGTATAAAGGTAGTGAGCCCTGCGTAGGCGAAATACACATGCAATTATTCAGCAGCATGGGAGTGCTCTTCCTTTTCTGAACATAGTCACTATCGCTACAGTGGATTTTGGCGTTCCCATGCCCGCTGACGTCGCTGTACTTAAAAGCATATTAACTGATCGGTCAGATTATTCCAAGGAGCCACCCTTTTTGAACAGTACCACGCCTGCAGACCACCTGTAGTCGGGTGCTCGCATTACAGCCTATTGGCTGTTCTTCCGACACGATGAGCCATAGTCGTTAGCCACCTCCTAGATTGCAATTTCTCATCTCAGTTTCTGCTCTTTCTCAATTTTTTTATAAATCCATTTCTCACGATTTCATAGGCATTTGTTTCATGTGAAGAGAAATGTCTTATTTGCAGACGGATGACTGTAAGACTGCTTGCTCGCCTTCCTCGAAACCGGTGAGGGTTACCTTTATCAATAATTTGTTCGAAATGTCCTCCTTTATCTCGAAAATTTTTTCGCCGATTTTGACATTCAAATTCAAAAGTTCATATTTCGGTTCAAATCAAGCATCTTCAATCGAAACAAAATCTATTACAACGCCCATACCTTTGCCTATAAGAACAGAGTTAAATTGATCCGGATCTGAAAGTGCTGGAGTTCTGTAGGCGAATAACTCAGCGAAGGTCGTTCAATCATCAATGTTGGGTTTCGAAATGCGACATCTCAATAGGAGACCTTCCAGATATGTATTATAGATGGAGAGGTGATAGGCAATAGGCCATATGTTACCATTGTGACGCTCAGCTAGATCAATTACGCTGGTAGAAGATAGGGCCAGAATGAGGCTGACCCAACATAACGACTTCTTCGAACGTTTCTTTGTGAGCCCCATATCAGTTACGCCTAATTAATAATCGGTATGTTCAAAAGCTCCATGCAGATTTGGTTTTGTCGAACCATCAGCTGATATTTGTCCGATCTCCGATTTAAGACCTTCATCCTACCCTTCTTCGAGCTTTCAACAGTGCGTGCAAGACAGTTTGAATCGCGACTGCACAGAGTATTTTTTAGTATTCAGAATCAAATGCTCAGGTGATATCGCAATTTGCTTGCGCAGATTTCCGAGCAAGTTTGGTGGAAAACAAGAAAGTAGTGCAGCAGACTGTTGAGTATGTTGTATTCAAGACCTTTAAAAAGTGCCTCACGTTTAAAAAACAGACAAATGCGCTATCTACAGATATATAGAGTATTAGCAGTTTCTCGAAAGCAACACGAAACAAAGTACTGCAAGAGTGAGCTTCTAAAAACGACGTTAATCCCCAAACAGGCCGAACTAATGATATCAACTTGTGCCACTTCTACTTTCTACTTTAATGTATTTTTCGCTGTAATTCTCTAAAAATGAAAATAATAGTTTTATAGTTTCTATGTTTCAGACAGAGACGCCTAAGGAAGAACAACCGCCGTCTATGGGGACGCCTCACCATACCTCCGAAAAGACTACCGACATTGTGAAAAAAAGCTCTTGTAGAGAACCTCATTAACGTATGTTCTTGGACTTGTATACTGCAAATGTTACATCTCCTTTCGTTAGGTCGATTAATATTATATTTTTATCTCCCAAAAGAGTGGTAGTGAGAAACACGGATACGCCACACTTTCGAAGAGCTATTCAGACATCCGCTTGCCACCATCTTTTTTTTTTAGAATATCTGCAGTCTGAGCCTCCTGTCTCTAACACGAGTTTTTATACTATTATATCAAATATACTCCTGCTTGATTTACCTCTCATCTTGCCTGCCTTCACGCAAGTCAACCAGGGTATGTGCAAATAATTCCAGAGACTGAACATGAAAATTTCTCGGCACAAAATATGTAGTGTGTCTAAACTTCGAAATTTCCCGCCTATCCACCCTCCCCCCCCAATTTCTCCCTATCCCAATCGATTGTGGACCAATTCACCCTCACCTTTTGGAAGGGAAATAAGGCCTAAACTAGCTAGCTCTATTTTATTTCTTAGTCGACATGCCCTGCACACGTCCATGAAAAATTGCGGAAAAGTTTCTTCCTCTTGATTACTGCTGAACATCGAGCTGTACTTTTCAGGATAAAGATCAGATTAAAAAAGTGACCCAGTCCGGTGAACAGAATATACGAGCCAAATCTCCTCAGCCAAGCGATGGGTAAGACTGTTTAGCTGGCTAATTCTCTGCTGCAGTTCCTGCTGTACCTTGTCATACCTTGTGACTACTTAATGGAAAAACGCGAGGGAGAAAGTGAAGAAAAATGAGCACTTCTTTCATACCCATCTTAATCATCAACACTGTTTGAAAAATCTATTATCTACGATCATACGGCGCCTCCCAGAATTTCTGGTTGATCTTAGAGGCGCTGACCACGATGGCTGGGAGGCGGTGGGATTTTGGTGACGTCATCGAACTCATTTGTGCACTAGGCCTTTAAATGCGCTGGGGGGGGGTAGCTAAGACCGCTTCACAACTGCCTTCCACTTCAACGATGTCATCAAAAGCGCATAGCCCTCGCCGTCGTGGCTGCCATTTGAGAAGTATCATTACGTGGATGATGTCACAGTATGAAATAGGTGAATTCAGAGTTCTTTTTTTGAAGAATCCGCAGGTGAAGGTGCAACAGCGATGATTACATTCATAATGGGCGTTCTAGACATGATTTGCATTAGTAAATAATATACTTCATCTTTGAAGTGGGACGATTGCTTTGCTCAGGAAGCTCCTCCCTTAAACGAGTGTGCATCTGAGCCGCAGCATGGTAAGTATCTGTTTACACGATGATGGCAGTCTCTCTAAAGGCATGGTCTGCTTTGGGAATGCGAATCTCCATGGGCGGGGCAGATCCAATTCCATGGTCACCTGCCCTTTAGGAGACTCATCAAGGGATAGGTCGCGTTTGTGGTTTTCAAGAGTGAGTATTGTCGTTCAAAATGGACGTCTATATCTATGTCGTGTCCTCCGCCCATCCCTGCCCCTGTCCCCGTCCCCTTCCAATAGATGGGCCTCTAGAGGTGGAAGTATGTCAATCCATATTACGTTTACCTGTACTGAAGCAGAGAGGTTCACTTCACGACCGCCTGCAAGGTGTTTGCGCTTATTCTGAGGTTTAAACGCAGCTGTTGACCTTGTTCATGCCAGCCTTGCAGGGGTGTGCTGACTGCACAGAGCTTATTCCGCATAACCCTTCCGGTGCAAGCCATTTCTATATTACCAGGTTGGTCAACCGCCGGGACCTTCTTTCCCTGAGTACGATTTACGTCTCTAGAATGACGTGTTAAAACCTAACCGCATCTGGGTCTGTTGGTGATTGGTTTTCTGTCTCCCCTCCCCAAACACCTGTTCCCCTCCCTCCACTCTACTCCAGCTGCTACTGCAGCACCATGTGGAATGAAGAAAAGTGTGCTCAGAGGTGTTTATATAGCCGTTGGGGTGTTATCACACTCACGCCATTGCAAAACATGAAAGCTCAAGTCCTGCGAGCTGCCCAGGTTTTTAGCGACGTGTTTATTCCACAAGCTCCCTTAACACTCACTTCATTCTGTGGACGGGCAGACAGACAGACACACATATACACAGAATGCATACAAAGCGACACACCAAGTCTAAGCAGTTTTATAAATTAGGATTCAGAAAATGACGCTTCACAAAAATACGAGACAGTCTAGTGGGTGTCAATGCATTTGGATCCGCGTAAAACATATCTCTTCCAAGAATGAACCAGACCTCGTGCGGGGGAGGAGAAACCCCAAAGAGCGTGATCAATTTCGATTTTCCCAACCTCCCCCCCCCTCTCAAGCTAGTTCTTGAGAATGCCCCCATATCTTGCTATACGCGCCAAGAATATGTTTACATTTCCCAATCTGATTAGAAAATGGGAATCAGAGCATGAAGGACATGGATAAGGTGACGCTTCCGTCCTACCTGAATCACGATTCAAGTGACGTGGCAGATCTCTTCAGAAAGAGGTGTTGAACGTCCACGTATTGCCACTGCTTGGATCAGTCGATCCGGTTGGAGAACACCTCCAACATGTGTAGAGCCTTATCCTCGTGGATCCTTTCCAGGCCTTCGCTGCCGATGGATTGGACGACATTAACCGGTCTGCTGTGGCTTCAGTCCACTGCTGAAGTCGAGTGTCCTATTAAAGCGCTATACGTGCTATTCACAATATCACGCTTACCGTGTTTATAACTGAGACTGGAGTTTCGGATGTGGCTTGATGAAACACTATTTCAGGATTCTCCACATCGCTATAGATTCGTTGTCCCTATGGTCGTACTAGCTGACATTAAAGGCAAAATATACAGGCTCACTACACATTACACGGTTACGGTAAGTACCGTATTCTTAACCACTCTAGTTTTCCCTAGTAGTTGATGCTGGCAATATTTTCATGGCAATGTTGCTCATGTCGTGTATTTACTTGTGAGAAATCGTTTGAAATTACTGTAGGCGTGCGTCGAGTGCCGCACCAATGAGAACAAATGGCAGAATTAGCGGCGGAGGCGTCGCTGTTTGGAGCCTAAATTTCTCAAACAATCTCCGTTCCCTAAAATGAAAACTGTCTCATTCTTAGCCAACTCGACCACCCTTTCGCTATCCAATACCGTTGCCTCAGACCTCGACCGGGGCAATGAGTAGACGCATTATGTGGGAGTCATGCGTGCGGTCGCGGAGCGGATTATGTCCACATAGTCTTCTATCCTGGACTTCAAAAAAAACATTGTTGCTTCCTGATTAAGCTACACATTGAAACGTGCTGAAAAGACCATTCAGAATGATGAGCTACTCCTCGATTTTTCAACCAACTAACCATTTACATTCAACGAGCATATTAATTATGGGGACGGTCTCACCTTTCACAAAAAGTTGATCTCGATACGGTGAGAACAAAAGTTCCTTTCCTCTGACGTCTACCCAAAAATAATGGTCGAAAGAATAAGCGATGTTACAGATAACCAGTTGTTCAACCGGTCAAGGAACGTTCACAGAGTCCAGCCCAATAGACGTCGAGAAGAAGAAGGGACATAAACAGTGAGAGGACAGCTATTTGATAGCTCACATGGTCTAATCCGTTATTTGTGAATGAAGTTTATTACCGGTTCGCCTACTAACATTACCCTGTGTTCATGTTTTTCTCGAAATAGGAAATAAAGGAATAAAATCCGCCGAGCAACAACTACACATCACATCATTTAGCACACAATGTGACTGATTGCAGCTACATTCGTTGAAAAGCACATTCTATGTAGCGCTGACTTGTCCCCTTATTTAGTGGGTAAGGAAACAGGTTGTGGCTTTTCGGCAGCTACACATAGCTATATCGCGTGCAAACACCGCCTCAGTTCTCAGGGTACGCCTTGCAATTGATCGCTGATGTCTGCGTCTCTCCGATCTCCACGCTTTTCCGCTGTCGCGTCAAAATGACACTGATTGCACTTTAGAATGAACTCCATTTTCTGGGGGGGGGGGGAGGAGGGGTGAGACTCAATCAATTACTCTTTTGAGAAAGGAAACGAATTGGAGCATGGAGCGGGAAACTATACAGGTTTATAAAGGTGTACATATGTGTGGTCGGTGATCCAACCGCCGATGTTCCGGTGAATTTGCGGGCCGTAAAATGAAATTCTCACCGTTGAGCATACCTCATCACGTCATTCTGGAAATGCTCCAGATGGAAAAAAAAACTAGTTAAAGGGAAGGCCGAGGACTCAATATGCCCTTCCCTAAAAGGCAGGAAAAGCCGGCCATACGCGGTGATGCGCATACCTTCTCAGACGGCCTTGATGTTTGCCAATTATCCCACTCCAGTTTAGAACTGCGCTCTTTTTTCGATGAGGAGGAACTGACACTTCAAGTCTTTCAAACAGCTTTACCATGCAAATTAATGATTAGATCAAACTCAAATTCCCGTAACCTCCTAGGAGGTCGAGCTTTGTATAACCGAGTATGACGAATCAGTTTTGGAGAGCGGCGTCACCTGTCGCAAATATGACGTCATTCGGCGCCGTTTGGGCGTCACAACCTTTTTTTCTGTCATTTTTCGGTAGAAGACTACTTGTAAAGATAATCTGAAGTGATCATCGATAAGAATATGGTGTTTTCTCCTCGGCCGCTTGTGGTCCGAATTGAGCGCTATGTGTGGCTCTCTCGACATTAGAGTCAATTGGCTGAGGCGCCAGCGCCAATTGACGGAAAAATTGTCATTTCGAGGAATCAAAACATGGACCACTCTGGTTTACCTCTCAGGCCAGCTGGAGAATGGAGACACATCCTCCATTACCATGCAGGTTCACAGAAAACAAGCAAACACTGTTGTAAAAGCGCTCCACACTTTGAACGACCTCTTGTGAAAATGAATTCTGTGGAGAAAGGAAACTCTAGGGTGTTTTAAAAGTGAAAGTGGAATGAGTCACATTTTTCAGGTCTTCCTTTCCCTGCGAACCTCTCCCTCCATTTGTTTCTATAGCCCACTATTGGTATCACTAGATACATTGAATGGCGCTCATTCCCTTGGAAGGGAGAGGCGGGACATTCAAGTAAGTGAGCCACTTACAGCACTTGGACGGCAAAACGATAACCGTGGGGAGTCAGGGGCAGAGGGACGCTGGGAGAACATGCACAATTATAATTCTGCCAACTCGCGCACACATAAGCATTTAGGTCTCAATTTACTATGTTATATAATGTGTGTGTGTGTGTGTGTGGTGGTGTGTGTGTGTGTGTGTTGTGTGTGTGTGTGTGTGTGTGTGTGTGTGTGTGTGTGTGTGTGTGTGTGTGTGTGTGTGTGTGTGTGTGTGTGTGTGTGTGTGTGTGTGTGTGTGTGTGTGTGTGTGTGTGTGTGTGTGTGTGTGTGTGTGTGTGTGTGTGTGTGTGTGTGTGTGTGTGTGTGTGTGTGTGTGGTGTGTGTGTGTGTGTGTTGTGTGTGTGTGTGTGTGTGTGTGTGTGTTGTGTGTGTGTGTGTGTGTGTGTGTGTGTGTGTGTGTGTGTGTGTGTTGTGTGTGTGTGTGTGTGTGTGTGTGTGTGTGTGTGTGTGTGTGTGTGTGTGTGTGTGTGTGTGTGTGTGTGTGTGTGTGTGTGTGTGGGTGTGTGTGTGTGTGTGTGTGTGTGTGTGTGTGTGTGTGTGTGTGTGTGTGTGTGTGTGTGTGTGTGTGTGTGTGTGTGTGTGTGTGTGTGTTGTGTGTGTGTGTGTGTGTGTGTGTGTGTGTTGTGTGTGTGTGTGTGTGTGTGTGGTGTGTGTGTGTGTGTGTGTGTGTGTGTGTGTGTGTGTGTGTGTGTGTGTGTGTGTGTGTGTGTGTGTGTGTGTGTGTGTGTGGTGTGTGTGTGTGTGTGTGTGTGTGTGTGTGTGTGTGTGTGTGTGTGTGTGTGTGTGTGTGTGTGTGTGTCGAAATTCATAGCGCAGCGCGTCGCAGCAGTTCGTTAGAAGTTTGATTTTGTGCGATAAGATATCGGCGGGTGCCGGACGGGCAAAATAGTTTCGCGTAGGCGACCGCGCACGAAACGTGAAACACGAACTGATAAGAGCTTGATACAAAAACCAGACGGCCACGCAAAACACACCACCCCCACCCCCACCACCCACCACCCCACACCCCACCGACATCCGCCCCCCCGCCCGCAAATTCAGAAGAACCATTCATAGCTGGCGTCCCAGCAACAGTGGGGCGTTGGTTCCTTGAAGGGATGTGCAGGGTGGGATGTGAACATGTTTGGTGGGAGCCAGAAAGTAATAACGACTGATAAGAGCTGATAAGAGGCGATAGAACGCGAATTTCATAAAATTCATAGTATCAGATAAAAGGTTGTACGGGCCTTTACCTGAAGGTGTAGCGGTGTTACGGTGTATCACAGGAGACTTTGCCTATATACACTTCATATTTACATGCTATAAGAACATAACAAGGGACAAGGTATAGGTGAGGAGATAAGATGTAGAGGTGAGGTGAGTCGGCCTCACGCCGACGGCCTAACTGCCGCTGGAAGCTGGGGGCAGCTTAAATACCTCCAGCTAAGGTTGCGAAATCAACGGTGACGACTCTTAGCTGATTGATGGCCTCCGGCACCATCCAGGCACGATGACGAGGCCTCCGGCTCGATAGCGGGGACACGACATCTCCATTCCTTACAGTAAGCTCGTCCTCGAGCTTCAAGTTCCTTCCATCTCGGTTTGCGATCCTCTTAACAATAATTGCTATAGCTGAAGTGAGCAACTTATGCATCCGGATTCTGTGATGATATACCCCAAACGCCATGCAATAGAAGCGGCCAGGTGAGCCTATAGGAGAGTCTTTGACAATGATCCCTGGCGATACCGAAGTCTTGGCTACCGACCTCTTCCACTCACTAACAGTCACAATCGGCTTGATGACTCATCGTCGAACGAGCGACTCGATCAGTCTCGATCTATGCTAGTCTACGGGATCTCTGGTGATATGCGCGCGGTGAGATCACATCGACTCTCGTGGAGAAGGAAGCTTGTCCTCGAGCTACGATAGGAAGATACCGTAACCTTCCAACAGGTGATGTGGTGTGTTATGGTATGGGGACAAGAATATCCATGTGTGGAATGAGAACAGCGTTATGTGACTTATGCTAGGAGTTATTCTTATACAAAAAAATGGAAATTCTACGCACGTTATGGTTTGTCTACGAACAGCGAATGTCTAAAATCTACGAGTTAAAACAATCTGCTATATTTGCATGAGGTTAAATGCGTGTATATATATATATAGGACTCATATTCCATAGGCATATGTATACAGTAAAAAATGAAACAGTCGGGATAATAGTCAGTCAGTTAACAATAGAAGAGTCGCTATATACTATTTTATTTTATTTTTTATGTTTTCTGATAGTACAATAACTATTACATAAGCAAACAATGAAATTACAAAGACGGTAGTTATGCGATACGAATACTAGTCTTTCTAACGGCACACTTTGGCGGTCGACTAGTATAAGGGCGAAAGTATTACCATTTTTGATTTTTAGGCAAAAGAACGCTGCCTCGAAATTCTTTGAACCGCCACTTCAAAGAATATGTGGAAATATTTGTCGCGACGTGCGGCTTGAAAGTTGGAAACAAACTGACCTAAGGAGGACCTGTTTTGATAAACAAGTGCTGCTGCATAGCCGCATTAACTGGTCGCTGAAGTTGATTGTCTATTCTGAAGCCGACGCGAACGTCGTATTACAGGTTGTTCCATATCTTTTGATGTTTCCGTAGTGGTTGGCGAAAGTGTGTGGGTTGGTTTGGTGTGGAAACATTAACCGATAAGGAACGAGAGAATACAGCTTTTAAACGGTTAATGTGTACTAACTTGTCGCGACGAGCGACCACAAGGTTAGTGATGGTTATATTAGGACGTTCAATGTCCATAATCACAAAAGGGCCTTTCCATTGGTTCGTTAATTTAGGACGGACTGTGTCGTCGTGCAAAAGTACTAGGTCACCAATGGAAATGTCCTTAGAGTATACCTTATTTTGAAGGTCATATCCTAGCTTGTAGAGTGCCGATTTTCTTCGCGATCTTCGTTGCCGACCGTCATGATTGTTTCTTTTAGGCCCACGGCGAGTTGGTCAGCGTAGTCATCCGACGCGAACACGAGACGTGAGGGAAGTTCGTGAAGGACGTCACTCCATGTAATCGGGCATCGTCCATGGACAACGAAAAAGGGGCTGTATCCTGTAGTGGTGTTTGTACTACAGTTGTAGGCAAAGACAATAGGTTGTAAGAAGTCCGACCAGAGATCTCTCGCTTCTGAACAATATGCCGTTAGAGAGTCTGTGATTACTTTGACTAATCTCTCGGCTTGCCCGTTAGCTTTATGATTATAGCTAGTCGTAAATCTATTTGTTATGCCAAGTGATTTGTTAATTTTCGAGAAGATCTCGCTAGTGTAATTCGAACCACGGTCTGAAACGATTTCCGTAGGAATCCCGTGTTTTGAAATAACATCATTAATCAGAATTTTAATTACTGATTCTGAGGTTTGATCAACTAACGGACTACAAATTACAAACTTACTAAAAGCACA